GCCACACAAGCTGGCTCTACTTGCAGGACACACGGCAGAGAACCAGACTCCCAATCTCTGGCTCCACGCCCAGATACATAAATCACTGAGCTATCCAGCCAGCTGACACCTTTATTAAAAGGTAAAAGTAAAGGTTCCCCTTGACATTTAGTCCAGTCGTGTCCGACTCTAGGGAGGCGGTGCTCATCCCCGTCTCCAAGCTGTAGAGCCAGCGTTGGTTCATAGACAGTTTCCACGGTCACGTGGCCAGCGCGACTAGACATGGAACGCCATGACCTCCACACTGGGGTGGTACCTATTTATCAACCCGCACATACTTTCGAACGGCTAGGTTGGCAGGAGCTGGGACAAGCTACGGGAGCTCACTCCGTCGCGTGGATTCGATCTTACAACAGCTGGTCTTCTGACCTTGCAGGACGGAGGCTTCTGCGTTCTAACCACGTCCCCCTGACACCTTTATTACCCCCTTTTTAAAGAAACAGACATACAGTACAAATAAATAGCTTTTGATCTATACTACTCTTTGTCCGGCTGGGTACCCAATATATTGTGGATGGCAAAGAAAAGAAAAAACATGGAAGTTTGAGAAATCACGACAAAGGTCCATGCCAGGTCTGGTTTTAGAAGTGAGTTCCAAAATTCAAGCTGCAAACATACATCAGGAGCGTTGGGTTCAGATTCTACCTTTGCCAGCCCTTGTTTGGATTATCTTTCCCAACTCAACAGACAGAGAGCTGCCCGGTTTTCAGCATTTCTCCCTCCTTATTGTGAAACTGTGGGTTCCTACCTTGTTTCCCCGAACATAAGACGAGGTCTTATATTAATTTTTGCTCCAAAAATGCATTAGGGCTTATCTCCGGGGGATGCTTTATTTTTGTCATGTACAACAATCTATATTTATTCAAACATAGTCATGTCATCTTCTTCTGGTTGCTGCACAGTGGTGGATGGCGGGGTTTCACTTAACTAGGGCTTATTTTTGGGAGTAGAGCTTATATTACAAGCATCGTGAAAAATCATACTAGGGCTTATTTTCAGGTTATGTCTTATTTTAGGAGAAACGGGGTACTTGGCCAGGGATTGGGGATATACAGAAATGTGGCAAGCCGAACCTCAGTCTTTCCACTCCATAGTCTAAGCACAAGGGTGATGGTGGCAGCAAGGGAATTTCAGATGGGGCTATTAAGGACAGGCTTAAACAACGAAAGTCATTATAAGGATCGCTTTCAGAAATGCTGAACAAGAGGCCAACAGCTGGGCTGCCCCTTTAATTTCCACTTTTAAGTTGTTGGATCTGAGATTCACCAACCCCAGATATTTTTATTTGATGTTATTCCTGGCACCTGACAAGGAAGCAGAACTGAAACATCTGTGTCAACAGAGTGACACTTCTCCGTTTACTACTGAAATTAAATGCACGTTAATCTTCTGGTTCTACCCTTGGAAAAGCTACTGGGGTATAGAGGGAGTGGACAAAAGAAGGGAAACCCCACAGAAAAGCAACATCAAGTCCTTCAGTTAAATCCAGGTCCCTTGGGTTACAACCGAGCCCCATAGGTCCCAATTGATGGGAGAATGGGTGGCAAAGCTACTGAAGTGTCTCTACTTTTTATTGTATTTTAAATGTTGTAAGCTGCCCAGAGACCTTTGGGTAATGTGGGTGACATATTAATGATCTCTTACGCAGTGGGAAAAATCCAGCATGCCCTATGGACAGGTGAAGCTCCTTTACAATGAAGCAGAACATTGGTCCACTTATCCCAGGATTCTAACTGGCTCCAGCTGTCCAAGGTCTCACATCTTAGGAAGAGGTTCTTTGTTTTTAAGTGGAAATGTCAAGCAGAGATTGGAAGAGTTTCTTTTTCAGACGGGGATTCCCCCGGCCCACCGGCATGATCAATGAATGAAGTTAGGAACCATTCAGCACAGAGAGACACGATTTTTTGCCGAACTAACCACTGTGTTGGCATGAAGTCATATGTAGCTCAATACTGCCCAGTCAGAATAGTAGATGGTCTCCTAGAGATGTATGAAAGGTCATCACATCACCCAATACCTGAGGTCTTCTCTTTTGCCTCCACTGCTCTCAATGATATTGTCTAAGAAATTCACTTGCTGATGAGGATGTTATGCCTCTTGTGGAGATCATGGTTGCCTTTGTGTTGTGTTATGCTGAGTTGCTAATTAGATTTAATGCCGCCTTTGACTTTCAGAATCCAAGAATAAATTTGTACCTTCCAACAAGCCCTTTGCACCCAGATCTCTCTGATGATAGCTTGAGTTTTCTTAAGAATACTCTGGGGAACACAAGATGTTCCCTGTTTGGTAGGGTTCATAGTATTGTCATCTAGCCCCTATCACTAACACCAGCCAGTCATGGAAAAGAGGACCACTCAATTGGCCAGCACAAGTCAAGCATCCACTGAAACTACCTGGAGCATCTTAGACGTGTTGTAAAAGTATGACTGTGATTTTTAACTCCTCAGTACCCTTTCGGGACATGGTGGCGCTGCGGGTTAAACCGCAGAAGCCTCTGTGCTGCAAGGTCAGAAGACTAGCAGTCGTAAGATTGAATCCACACAACGGAGTGAGCTCCGGTCATTTGTCCCATGTCAAAAGCATGTAAAGATGAGAGTAGATAAATAGGTACCACCTCGGTGGGAAGGTCACGGCATTCCATGTCTAGTCTCACTGGCCACGTGACCACAAAAACTGCCTATGGACAAACACTGGCTCTACGGCTTGGAGGCGGGGATGAGTACCGCCCCCAAAAGTCAGACACGACTGGACTAAATGTCAAGGGAAACCTTTGCCTTTCCCTTTCTCTCTATGATGGACACACTGCTGAATTTCTGTTCCACATTTATTTCTCAAATCAGTGGTTCCTGCCCTAAACCAACACAAAGTGCTTGGCTGAGTCCTTCACACCCACTACATTTGGCCTATCCATCAGAAAGTCTGCCAACACTAAGGCACCACCATCCCCTCCAAATAAGGGCAATTTTCTCAAAGAACAGCAAGCTAGGAGGTTAAGACCGTCTCAAAGTTATTAACCAGCACACTTAGGTCTCCTGTCCCAGTGGCAACCACAAAATGTGCTAATGCGTCAGTGCAGGGACTAAATTATGCATTGAGGCTCCTGCCGAATGCTGTCAGAAGGGTTTTATCGCTGATCTGGAAGAGGGTTTTAAAATGCTCCCCGTACAAAACATTCCAAACAGACCCAGACATAGAAAAGGCCCCCTTTATACATCCTTGCAAGGTGACCTTGGCACAGATTAAGCCCGATTCCCTTTCACAGCGCCTTTTTAGTTGAAACTGAATTGTGCTTTCTTTCTTAACTCCCAAAGTAAAATATGCTGACACCAGCAACGATAAAGAAGAGCCAAAATCTTGTTCAACGCCAGCAGAATGGAAAGTCCCATCAACACAGTTCTGCAGCCTACCAGGTAAAGGAGAGTCTGGATAGAAGGAAGGAGGGATCTTTCTAATGTGGCAGGCAGCTCATAGGCATGGATACAGGGCCCCACTCTGCCCCCAACCACTATTAGCTGGCTCTGGTTACCCCACTAGGTTCATTTTATTGTTTCACTCATTTTAGGTCTGTAGCTCTCTAGATGCGAACAGATATTTACAGACCAGCACAGGAATGACCGTGGTTATAATCCGGTGGTAGACCGTACATCCTTGTCCCTCAGGCTTCCTCCTTGTGAGAGTCTATTAACTGGCACTTTTGTACCAGCAGCTAGAATTCCCCAATGGGTTTCTGTTCTTTGAGTCCTGATGAAGACCAAGAGCCACCAGAGCCTTAGAAGATTTATTGTACAGATGGCTGACCCAAACACAGCACGATCTAGCAAAAGGAAACATGGAGAGGCCCCCGTAAGTTTGGGCATAGTCCTTTGAGGCATGGCTCCAACGGATATAATAATACAGTGGTGCCTCGCTTAACAAGCGCACCATTTAACGACGAATCCGCATAGTGACCTTGATTTTGCGATCGCTAATGCGACTGCATTGCGATGTTTTTAAATGGTAAAACATCGCATTGCGATGATCGCTAAACGTTTTGCTTACTGATTTTCGCATTGCGATGTTTTTTAAACAGCTGATTGGCGGTTCCAAAATGGCTACCGGGTAAAGAAAATGGCCGCCCGCTGTGTTTCTGCCCGGATTCCTCGCTTATTGGGCAGCGAAAATGGCAGCCGCATGGAGGATTTCCGCATAGCGATGAGTTTTGTGCCCATAAGAACGCATTAAACGTGGTTTAATGCGTTCTTATGGGCTTTTTTCCCCCGCATAGCGACGATTTTTTCAGAATGGATTATTGTCGCTACGTGGGGCACCACTGTATAATCTTAGAATGGAAGGGCTGGAAGGGACCCAATGGACCATCGAGTCCAGTCCTGGTCAAGGAGGCACAGTGTGGAATTGAACTCCCAAATTCTGGTTCTGCAACCCCATACATAAACGGAATTGAACTCCCAACGTCTGGTTCTGCAACCACATACATAAATCACTGAGCTATCCAGATGACTAGTCCTCCCTCCCAGGACAGAGAAGATATCATGTTCTGGACATGCTGAAGGGTGTTTTTTTTTAACCCAAACTTCCCTACTTCTGCCAGGGAGGAATGGAAGACAGGCGCCACTGGTGTTCTCCAGGGAAGGAGACCTGTCCCATTCTGAGGAGTACAAACCCCAAGCAGGTCAGCCTGTTATCACCTTGACAGTAACCAATGGCCTGCCCTTCACATACTATGCACAAGAAGTGCAGCTATCACTGGCATGTCACTTACAACAGGTTTAAGTGAACAAGCATGATACACAATAACTCCCGACAACTACGGGACCCCATTTTGCATTTTGCGGAATAATCACCAGGCATTATACTCAAAGACGCACCGAACAGAACCGAGGTAGCCATTTCAGCTTTACGTGTTCGCTTCTTCAGATTCACTTCCATCCTTCCCAAATATAACCATATTATAAAACACTTACTTCGGGTCAGATCAGCTGCTGAAGTCCAGCCAAGTGACAAGGTCATCTCGAAAAAGAGATGGAGCATTTATCGCCCTGTTACACCTCCTGTAATAACACATTTAAGTGCTTAAATGTAAAACCCTGGCCTAGACAGCAACAGACTTGAAATATAGAAACACACAGCTTACCTCTATGGCCAAAGGCATATTTCTCTTCCCCCCCCTTTTTTTAAAAACCGTATTCTTTCTCCTTCTCCATGCTCCTTTGAGCAGACTACAACCTGGCCTCAAAAAAGCAAAATCGTTTGAACGGAGAGAGCACGGGGACCTCTCGAGAACTTAGCTTCAAGGCTTCTTCAGAATAAAAAAAGGATGCAGCTTTTTGATGGGAAAAACACAGGATGCAACATTTGAGCATAAAATGGTGCAATAAATTGGGAAAGGTGCCTTTGTAATTTTTCGTGCCACTTAAGAGAAAGCTGTGGGAGGAGAGGTAAGCTCTCAGACCCTAGACTCAAGCATAAAACCTGTACTTGTAAGCTGCCTAGAGTGGTGATAAGACCAGATAAAGGTAAAGGTTCCCCTTGACATTTTAGTCAGTCGTGTTCGACTCTAGGGGGTGGTGCTCATCCCCGTTTCCAAGCCTTAGAGCCAGCGTTTGTCCGAAGACAGTTTCCGTTGTCGCGTGGCCAGCACGGCTATACATGGAACGCTGTTTACCTTCCCACCGAGGTGGTATCTATTTATCTACTCGCATTTACATGCTTTCGAACTGCTAGGTTGGCGAGGAGCTGGGACAAAGTGACGGGAGCTCCCTCCGTCGCATGGATTCGATCTTACGACTGCTGGTCTTCTGACCCTGCAGCACACAAAGGCTTCTTCGGTTTAGCCCGCAGCGCCCCCACGTCCCCACAAGACCAGATAGGCGGGATATAAATAGAATAAATAAACAAACAGACAATTTGCCAGTCAGCTTCCTACAGGACACATCTGATGGTGTGAACAGAACTTTCCTGAAGATGCCACGTTGCTCAAATCCCCAAGGTGTACATAGTTCCTCACCTCTGTTTTAGAACCTTTCTATCTACTACAGGGATGCTTGGAGATGTCACTTTCTTTTATGCAGGACCAAAGCAGTCTGCAGGCCCTGTGCATGCTAGTCCTCCAAGAAAAGGTAGAGTGGGATATCTGGAGAGTGAGGATCCAGACTGAGTACTGGAAAGTACAGGACAAAATGTACATTTGCTAACACATGGGGTACTACGGTTCTAGGTTTTCCAGGCTGTTTGGCTGTGTTCAGGAGGTTTTTCTTCCTAACGTTTCGCCAGTCTCTGCAGCCAGCCTCTTCAAAGGACAGGAATTAGAACTCTGTCCGTGTTTTTTCTTCCTAACGTTTCGCCAGTCTCTGCGGCCAGCCTCTTCAAAGCACAGGAATTAGAACTCTGTCGGTGTACCAAACAGCCAGAAAAAACCTACAACAACCATAGGATCCCAGCTGTGAAAGCCTTCGAGAGCATGGGGTACTCTTCAGAGCTGCTGTCTCCATTCCAAGCATCCATCACTCACTGGGGTTGGTGGCCCCATCTCTTTCCCTTTTGCATTATCATACCACTCTGCACAGACTTGATCTTGTCTGCTTTTGGAACTACTAGCAGGACCCCCCTTTTCCTTTCCACTAAAGATTACCTGCAGCTGGAGATGCAATCTGGGTCACTATCAATAGCTCTAAATGCAAGGCTCTTAAAAACACGCTCCCCATCTGATTCACACTCTCCTGAGTGCAACTTGTTTAAGAAAAACACATCAAATGCTCCAGCCCCAACATGCCAATGCAAGCGTGGCTGACAAAGCACATTTCTGTACTGATTGTTTTTCCCTGTAGCTTTGCTGCTCTGCTTGTAAAGAAGGTTCAGCACCAGCCCCTCAACCTGCTTTGAACAGACGTGTTCCTACTGAGTTGGAAATGCAAACTTTGTCTTTTCATGACACATGTCTGGACTTGATAATGCGAAGTGTCCCTTTCCATGTATTCTCGAAGGCTTTTACGGCCGGGATCTGATGGTTGTTGAACAGAGCATGGACAGAGTCCTCTGAAGATGCCGGCCACAGAGACTGGCGAAACGTCAGGAAGAACAACAGAACACAGCCAAAGAGCCCGAAAAACCCACACGTAAGACCATGGCCAATTGCTTATGGTTGTATACACTAAGTATATCATTTGTGAAAATCTTATAATTTGGAAAGCTTTTAATTTGGGAAAGTGACTTTTAAAGGAATAATTTCAAGATCTGAGTATCAAAACAACATGGTAAACTTAATAAAACAATATGACTGCTTTTTGCACAGAAAATGTATGGGAAAAAGAACCACAGAAAAATATATCTGCATACTTGTATTTGATGAGAAAACTGAATTTTATAGAAAAGGAGGTGGTTAATAAAGGGATTTCCAGAATTAAAGAAAGACAAAGGGGGGTGGGTGAATTGGGTATTATGGTCCAACAGCAGCTGCTGTTAATATCTAGCTAGGCTAATTACAGAACACCCAGCAGGGGGGAAAAAGAAAGAAAGCTTGAGATATTGTTTTACAATGCAATCCTATATGTGTTTCTTCAGAAATCCCACCAAGTGCAGTGAGACATACCATCATGTAAATGTGTAGTGGACTGCATGTGTAGCATTACACAACAGTGATTTATGAAGATGGAGTCACAGAGCAGAACACCCATGACGATCTTAATTAACAGGCAGTGATACATACTGAGATGCATAGAATTCCTGTTTAATTTAGCCTCAGATAACCACCATCATCCACTCTTCACAATTTAGCTTGGATTATCAATTACTGCATTCACTCCTGAATGCGTTCAGCAGGGGTTTTGGTGCTCAGTCACAGCCCTACCTCCTCAGTCTCGATATTGCTTTTAATTGCAAAATGTCCTCCAGTCTTGGTGATGCATTCTGAAGCGGATGACCCTTGATTCTGCAGGAACTGCTGACTCTCTCTAGAATCTTGGTTTCAGTTTTACAGGAATTGTCCAAGGTTCTGAATGAATCCCACAACTAAAAAAGGCACAGCAATCTGCATAGCCCCTGTCACGTTCGGATTAAAACCTGGAATGGATTCAGCAAACCCATGAAATTGGGAGTCCAGCTTCTCCCTTCACCACAAATACAGTGGTGCCTCGCTTAACGGCGATAATCCGTTCCAGGAAAATCGCCGTTAAGGAAAACATCGTAAAGCGAAAATAAAAAGTCCACTGAAACGCATTGAAAACCTTTCAATGCGTTCCAATGGGCTTAAAACTCACCGTCCAGCAAAGATCCTCCATACGGCGGCCATTTTCTCTGCCTGTATAGTGAGGAATCCGTCCTAGAAAACAGCGGGGGGCCATTTTGTTCACCCGGCGGCCATTTTGAAACCGCCGATCAGCTGTTTAAAAATCATCTTTTTGCAAAGAATCAGTTCCCGAAGCAGGGAACCAATCATCGCAAAGCAAAATTCCCCCAATTTAGACCATCGTTTTGCGACCGCACTTGCGATCGCAAAAAGATCATCATAAAGCGGATTTGTCGTAATGCGGGGCAATCGTAAAGCGAGGCACCACTGTACTTATTTATTATTTTAAAACATGTTCATACAAGATCACTCCTTTTAGCCCTCTACAACTGCCCTTCTAAAGACCATGAAGGGCAGGTGTGAAATGTGTTCTGACGCACCATCTTACTGGACAATATTCATCCTCAATGCTTTTAACATTTATCAGTGGAAGACCCTGCCACAGCTTTGAGGATTATGGAGAAGGGGAAGTACAATGGCCATTTCTTCTGACAGCATTGGGAAGGAAGTGTTTGTTTATCAAAACATACAATGGTCATTTGCAGTCTGTTTATCTTATTTCCCACAAAGCACAGAGAGACAGCTACTTCCCCCCCCAAAAAAATGCAGCTTGGGGAATAATCACTGCTTGTGCCAGGGGTCAAAAATGTAAGCACGGAAACAATATCTGGATCAAATACAACTACAGGACAGTAAACTGGGTAAGCAAAAATGCACCCGTCACCCACTAACCCAACTGGAAAGCTTAAAAACAAAAGTTGAGATTAAAATATAAAATGCTTAAGCAGGAGTGGATTAGTTTTTTTAATTAAAACAGTAAAAAAAATGCCTAAGCAGACTGTTTTAGACTGTCCCCTTTTTTGTGAAACAACCGCAAACACAGGAAAGGAAGAACTATACTAAAATATTAAGTTAATGGCAGTGGGAAATACTCATAGGCCATATTCTTCTTTCATCTAAAAGGCATTGGCACACTTATTAGGATTTACAGCTGGGAACTGCAAAAAAAAAGTCACAGTAGGGAAAATAATGCCCTTCCGGGTTCCACTCAGCCATGCCCTGTCCCGGTATACACCACTTGTTCTTTCCAAAGTCTTCCTCTCCCCCACTCCCATTTCAACAAGTACACAACGTCACTTCTCGCTGGGCTATAAATCTGAGGATTTCCTCTGCTTGCCAATAACTTGCCCCATCCTGCCTAGGTGCTGTGCGCCACTTTGACGGCTTAAAGAACCTGCATTTGGAGAATGAAATTTGCTTTGATGGGTTATGGGTTGAAGAAACTGAACCTACCTAAAGGCCCACGGTACTCAATCACGTTCCAATATTTTAACGAGAACAATTACAGGCTGGTTCCAATTTACAGCAACTCTTCCCTAGGTTCTCTCCAAATATGAAGGATGGAGAACCGCCCTGCCAGTCTTTCCTTCTTTCGAATGGACGGCTGCACAGACTAGCTTTTCTCCTGGAAAAAAGGAGAAAAGCGAGGGAATCAAACTCCTGCTCCCTGGCTCCACAGCCAAGTCCTCCAGACCATATATCCTCTTCCTCCTCCTCCTCCTCCTGTGCCGTCAAATTGATTCTGACTTTTGGCAACCCTTTCCGGGATTTTTGGGGAAGGGGGAACTCAGAAGTGGTTTCTCATTCCCTTCTTGTGCGAGCACCCTGTGCAGCTTGCCGAAGGCTACCCCCCGGGCTCTTCTCTTAGGAAGCCCAGCAAAGAAGCGAATTCCAAACCTCT